TGACTTTTGTTGAAAGAAAAATGACAGGTTGGATAACAAGAATCTTTCAAACTAGAGATGCTATGCCAGTGTTGATACTTTTCAAGATGCTAGTGCTCTCTAGAGTAGAATACTGTTGCACAATGACAGCCCATTTCAAAGCTGGAGAAATTGCTGACCTGGAGAGCATGCAGAAATCCTTTTCTGTTAGAATCCACTCAGTAAAACATCCAAATTACATTAGGACCGACTAAAATCCCTAAATCTCTATTCTCATGAGTGCAGGCGGGAGAGATACATAACAATTTACACATGGAAAATATTAGAAGGCATGGTTCTAAATCTGCACCCAGAAATAACATCACATGAGATCAGAAGGCATGGCAGAATGTGCAGAATAACTTCGTTGAAAAGCAGAGGTGTAATAGGTGCCCTGAGAGAGAATTCTATTAATATCAGAGGCCCGAGACTGTTCAACGCATTTCCACTACACATAAGGGGCATAACTGGCCGAGGTGCCATAGGCACAATCAGAGAACACTGTATAAACATCAGAGGTCCGCAATTGTTCAACGTCCTCCCAGTGACTATAAGAAATATTGCCGGAACAACCGTGGATGTCTTAAAGAGAAAACTAGATTGTTGTCTAAAAAAAAAAATGCTGAACCAACCGGGTTGTGGCGGGTATGTGGGCCTGTGGGTCGCTCCAAGCAACAGCCTGGTGGACCAAGCTGTCACAAGTCAAGCCTGGCCTAGGGCTGGGCTTGGGGAGTAGAAGAACTCCCAGAAACCCATCAAGCAGGACATGTGTTGATACAATACTTTTAATATCCTATTAATATCTCCATTGTTATGTCCATTCATCCACTCGTACTCTTCTATCATGTCATCCCTAATTCTTCTCCTTTCTAGAGAATATAATTTATGCTTTGTCAATCTTTCTGCGTCCTGCCTTCCCAATACGCTTTGTCATATGACGATTTGAAACAAATGATGGATTTGACAATCACTGCTGCCTCGCTTAACTTAATCCAGCTGTTTACCACACTGTAAAAAGAGAAAGTTTTAATATTTTTTTGACACCAACCTACCATTTCTTCAATGGTCTTTTCCTCTTCTGCTACAGTGTCTATCCTAGATGGTATTTCCTTTTCCAGACAACCAAAAATGATTATGGAACTGTAGTGTTTTGTACTAATTTACTTTTGTTAACCAGTTCCTTCTTAATTGCTTGTCTGATGTCTGTTCTTGTTGCTCATTTCTGTTTTTGAATTCCAAACATACTTCTTTGATTGTTTCTTGTTTACAACTTGTGCATATGTTTCTTTTATTTACCTTTTTTTTTTTACTTTTCCAATCCTTTGGTAACCTGTTATTTGAGCTGTCATTGAAGTTTTTCTTTGCCTAACATCCTCTTTTAGCTAGGCTGTAGGATTGCCGAGATTTTTTTCTCCGTATGTGTCTGTTTTCCTGTTAACACTTTCACAGTATAGCCTCTTCACATGTGAACTGTAAATGATCTGTGCTCCTCAGGCAGCTTGCTGGCCACTCGATGATGCAAAAAATGTTTAGAATCATTTAATGTTTTCTAATTTATTTGTTGGGTTATAACAGATTTGGTGTCGAAATGTTAGCATATGAATTGTCTAGAGCAGGCATGTCAAGCATGCAGCCTTTTACAAGCATACCTGTAGTCCGCATAAAGGATACTGTAATTTGGTATATAATATAATACAGTATACAGTAATAGAAAAAAATATTCTGCAATAATTTTTATTAAATGACTTCAATTAGTTTCCGTGTGTGGCCCTCGTGATAAAATAGTTGTGACCCATATGGCCCTCGAGTTTGACATACCTGGTCTAGAGCTAGATGCAAAACCAAACGTGTATAATAGATTTTGGTCCTTTCTGTACATTACAGAACAAAACCTAGTGGTAAGACCTCCTTCTGGTAAAAGTTTGATCCTCATAAATGTAAATACTGTACTGTACAAGAAACAAAAACAATAATTAACAACAATGTACAAAATCAAAGTAATATAAATTTAAATGAATTTTATCTGATGCTCTAAGCTATCATAATTGCATTTAATCTTAATTCTGTAAAAGACCTGAGGGCCTATAAGATTATATTCAGACTATATTCAATGTATAAAAAGACTATTCAAAGTATAGTTGCCATAAAAAAAATATTTAAATGTGCCCCGCTGCATTTATGCACCAAATTTCTGGATTTGAAAATGTCTAATGTCTGCATTAATTTAAAATCCATTTTTACAAGTTGTAGAGCTAAGTATTTTGCACATACAGTAATCTGTAGAATTGATGAGAAGTACAATACTGTACTTGTAAATTGAGAGCCAGTTAGAAGTTGTACAAAAATTACCTAGAAGATATAATGTCAAATATTCTGGCAATCTTTCAGGGCACTTCTAATACACTGATTTTCTTCTAATTTCCCATACCTATTGCATATGGTGTGTACTCCAAAGTGTTGAAGTTTCAGCTAAATATCTCGGGTAACAAGTTTAAACCCCCCTCCCCCCCCCTGAAAAAAATTATGTAAATTCCAAAGGTATTTAGTGATATATTCTCATTATAAATATTATTAGCATATGCCATATATATTTGATATCCAATGGCATTATTATCCCGGATGTATCATTTACTAACCTGTATTTAAATTCTTGTAATATTATTGTAAATGTAAAGCACTAGTTCAACTCTCATTGTTGTAAGGACAAATATTCTTTGCCTACTAGACATGAATATTTATCTTTAAATCCATTATACCTCTGTACCACAAAAACAACCATTGAGAATATTGGATTAATATTAGTGAGCTGAAATTACATCCTAGAAGTGTACAAGTTTTGTGGCAGAGCAAGCTTTCGGGGTGGGCGGTGGGGTTGGAAAAGCTATTGTTTTTCTACAATATCATTTCTCTGGTAATGTGATGTTGAGCTTACCTTACACCCAGACTATTTTCAATGTATATTCAGTATTAATATGATATACTGTATAAATAAACAAGTGAGGTTTATAGGAAAATAATAATGGCAGGTCAAATGCTGCTAAGCTATGATAGACATTCTATCTCGCCGCCACCTGCTAGCATATTGAGGGAAGGGACTTTGCCTTGTGATAGCCTTATATTCTCTACACGGGTTTGTAATGCCAAAGGCCGCCAGAAAAATGATCTAAAACACAAATCTAATTAATTCGCATAAATGCAAGGGTTGGAAAAAAATTATGAATTATCCTCGGCAAGATAATATACCTAGGTTTATCATTCTCCCTAGGCCAGTGACTGACCTTTCTCGGAATACAGCCTACAATTATTGTCTAACTTCTTGGTTTTTATTTAATGCTAGGTCAACACTGGCATCAGGAATGGAATGCAGTTTGCTTGGTGTAGTTCCAGAAAATTTAATATTTTTATTCTTGGGCTCTTAACCCTTAGGCTGTGCTATACTGTACTTATATAGGCGATTGGAGTAACTGTCATGAAATTGTGCACATCATACATAGGCGATTGAGGGTCTCGCGCACGATTTAAAGTCGCAAGGTCCCGCGGCTACACAGGGTTCACATCGGCTTCCTAAAGGGTCTTGTAAACAGATGCCATTTTTTTTTTTTTTTTTAAATCATGGGCAACATCCCCGGGTGTGAGAGCCTCAATACTGAATGAGCAGTCAAGGCTGGCACATGCAGCATGAGCTAACAGCACTGCTGTTCAGCTTGTGACCACAGCATCGCCTAAAAATGTCAAAATACCTGTATATATGTAACTGCTATTATTTAGCAATAATAGTATTATAGAAGACCCCTGACTGTGATAAAAATGACCAGGATTCTGATAATAGCAGGATTCTGGTGATAATTACTGCTGTGCATAGTAAGTGGGAGAAGTAATCTTGGTGAGAGAGGGAGGTACTACAGTCTGCTGACTGTGTGGCCACCTGTAATTGTCTGGACTCACCATACCAGGTTCTCTGTGGTGAACACAAATGTAGATACTTATATATAACGTGTGCAATAACAGCAAAAGGAGTATGTTGGGAGGAGCCATTTTGGTGAGGGGTGGTGGTGTCTGCTAGCTGCTGTGTCACTTGTCAAGCAGTTTTTTGTGGCCACTATGTTGTTTGGACACCATACTAGCTTAACTGTACAGTTATGGTGAATAAAAAATGTAGATTCTGGTATATAATGTGTGTGTATATAGTTTAAAAACAGCACAAATAGTATAATAGGAGGAGGAATGTTGGCGAATTAGGGAGGGAGCGTCAGTTGACTGTGTGGTGACCTCAGTTATTGTCTTGACTCACCATACCAGCTTAATTGTATAGTTGATTCACACATTTTATTATATAAATATATCACACCTCACACTATTGAATGATATTACTAAAAAAACAATCACATTGAAATAATTAGGTAATAATATCTTTGTGATAGCTCCCGCCTGTCAGCAAGGTTGGAGCAGACCGCCACATTGAGAGAGAGAGAGAGAGACCATCCTGTACCTTACAACAGGATGCCTAGTCTGTCAATGCCTCAATTTTCCCAGACTTCCTCACCCTATTGCAGCCAAAATATGTCGCCTACGATTTTTTTTATTATTTTTCAGGTGATCAGGGAACACAAATGAACATTTTATAAGACAAAAAAAGAAATTTGAATTTTTATTGTTGTTGCGCCTGGCGGTGTTGAAGGCCATTAGGCCCATAGCAGCTTAAGGGTTAAGAAAGTTCATTTATGGATGTAGAAATTCACATAGGCTCCTAGGCCCAGGAGCCAAATCCCAAGTGTTTTCAATTGTTTTACATTTTGTACTTGGTGTCTTCTTATGGATGTACATGTTCATGCCTATATTTGTTGAGCTTTTATATCACTTCTTACTCTGGTTTTCAAAATTACATAAACAATACATAATACATTGTATGAATATGTTGCAGAATATCATCATACATTTGCATATTCGTTTGTCCTGGTTAATTATGTCTTTTTATCTCGCAGATCTAACAGAATGCCGCCTGTTGAAATCCAGTGGTGTGATCATTCTTCAGTGCTTTTAGAGTATCTGCGCCAGCTGTATGAAGAAGGACGTTTTGTTGATGTTGGTTTAGAATGTGAAGGTCGGCAAGTCAAGGCTCACAAGGCTGTTATTTCTGCATGCAGTCCATATTTAGAGGTAAGCAGCTTTTTGTACTCACTCCTAGTGAGAATAAAAGCTAATGTTTGTTATGTTGTGACTGCTATATTTAAAAATCAAATATTGCTGTCTTCAGAATGCTACCACATGTCAAGCATGGTGTTTGAGTCTATGGTATTAAAAGACATACACATGTATGTAGATTAATAGTACAGTATTGTAAAAATTCTTTGTGGAATTCTTGAGTCATTTTCTAATTTCGGGAAAAATTTAGTTAATTTACTGTTACTAGTATTTGTTTATCTTGCCCCTCGTGTCTGTTTAATTTTCAAAGAGCCTTAAGTAATTTGATGCATTTCTTACACGTACATAGTATGTGTAATATTATTTTTGCAATAACATTATTTGGTTGTGTGCAATTTGAGGAATTTTAGTTAAATCTGTGGAACATCGCTATGCTAACAAATTTGGTGCTCATATTTAATGACACTTATACTGTATTATATTCTTTAATCAATCAGTGTTTTTGGTGTTATTACACTACAGTATATGCACACAAGTTATATATAACTATCTACATTTTTGTACACCATAACAAATGACTAAAGTTGTCTGTTGAGAGTTTATAAACACAGAACCATGATCCAAGGTCAGCCTAGCACCTGACAGCTCAGTGTGGTGGGGGCTACCACAAATACTTTTTACATAATTATTTAAATGTTTTTGAATGGTTTTATACCTAGTTCTTGCAGTAATATGCAATAGTGTGTAAATTGAGGAATTTATATAGTTAAATGTGTGGACCATTGCTGTGCTTAAAAATATGCTGCTCATGACATGTATATTATATTCTTTGATCAATGAAACAGTGCTTTCGCTATTATTGCATTATATGCACACGTTATATACTGTATGTTCTACACAATTAAGGATTTGCGCCCAGTAAATCCTCCCTGGCCGGGATATGAACCCAGGATAAAGTGCTTGTGGAACGCCAGGCAAGCGTACCACTACACCACGGGGGCCGGTTGGAATCCAATATATTTTGAAATCTAATGTTTTTATAAACCATAACGAACTACAATTGTACCTTCGTTTACGAATTTAATCCATTCCATGAGACGGTTTGTAAACTGAAACAAATTTTCTCATAAGAAATAATGTAAATTGAATTAATCCATTCCACACCCTCAAAAATATTAACTTTAAAATACATTTTATTTAGATTACTAATATGTTGTACTACAGTATATCTTAACTCTATTGAGGACTCTTGCTGGAGTATGGAAGATGGTGAGGAGGAGGAATGGTGTTTATATTAACCTTTTTTATGACTGTGATGTCTCACTACAGGCAAGTGTTAAAACATAGGGAAACACAAGTGTCCTTAGGCAGATTCTTAGTAAGAGAAACGAGCAGTGAGCTACAACCAAGTCCTAGTAGTATGTCTGTAAAACGTGAGAGAGAGAGTACCCCAGAAATGTCATCACTGCCTGATGTTATAATGGAAGGGAAGGGGACTTCCCTTCCAAACACTAACCCCCTCTCCTCCTCCTCCTCCCCCCCTCCTACTCCTACCCCTCCCCCCCTCCTACCCCTCCCCCCTCCTCCTCCCCCCTCCTCCTCCCCCTACCCCTCCCCCTACCCCTCCCCCCCCTCCCCCTCCTCCTCCCCCTACCCCTCCCCCCTCCTCCCCCTCCTCCTCCCCCTACCCCTCCCCCCTCCTCCCCTACCCCTCCTCCTCCCACCCTCCCCTACCCCTCCTCCCACCCTCCTCCTCTGCCCCTCCTCCTCCTCTGCCCCTCCTCCTCTGCCCCTCCTCCTCCTCTCCCCCTCCCCCTCCTCTCCCCCTCCCCCTCCTCTCCCCCTCCCCCTCCTCTCCCCCTCCCCCTCCTCTCCCCCTCCCCCTCCTCTCCCCCTCCCCCTCCTCTCCCCCTCCCCCTCCTCTCCCCCTCCCCCTCCTCTCCCCTCCCCCTCCTCTCCCCCTCCTCCTCCTCTCCCCCTCCTCCTCCTCTCCCCTCCTCTCCCCCTCTCTCCCCTCCTCTCCCCCTCCTCCTCCTCTCCCCCTCCTCCTCCTCTCCCCCTCCTCCTCCTCTCCCCCTCCTCCTCCTCTCCCCCTCCTCCTCCTCTCCCCCTCCTCCTCCTCTCCCCCTCCTCCTCCTCTCCCCCTCCTCCTCCTCTCCCCCTCCTCCTCCTCTCCCCCTCCTCACCATCTTCCATATGCCAATAAGAGTCCTCAATAAAGGTAAGAGATATACATATTGTAGTATGAAAATTAGTATTATTCTGTATAAAATGTATTTTTAAGTTAATATTTTTTGAGTGTGTGGAACGGATTAATTCAATTTACATTATTTCTTATGAGAAAATACGTTTCGGTTTACAAATTTTTGGTTTACGAACCGTCTCTTGGAACGGATTAAATTCTTAAATGAGGGTACCACTGTATTACTTTTTCTTTGTAGCACAGGAATTAACTGTTTCATTATTGACACAGGGTCTGCTGAAGGGCAACCCAGCTAGAAGTCATCTCATCAAATTTAATGGATATTCATACAACAGTCTTCGAGCAGTTATAGACTTCATGTACAATGGTGAGCTTTTACTTACTGCTTTATTAGTATTAATTAGTTTTTAGAATTAAGGTAAACACATTAATTCCAAAATAAGCAAATAAAATAAACACAATTTACTTTGTTACACAATAGCAAAAGTCTTAATCTTTAGATTAGAAAGGACATATTGTAATAGTGTTGCCTTTTCCAGCCTAGCTCTTGGTGGAATGCAGTTCATGCATAATTATCTAAAGGATTAGCTAATCTTTTTTTTTTAATTTCTGGTCAGATACCAGTCAGGTTAGGTGTCTAATTGAACCTCTTATCTTCAGGAATGCAGAGAACACTAGTTGGATTTTGTATTCAGATGTATGTCTTTGTTGGTACTCCGTAACATAGCAGGTACGGGTGATGGTGTTTGAGGGGTTTAATCCTTGCAGACTGCATTACCACTCACCAGACATAAGGGGGCTCTCTCTATCACCTTGTAACACTGTTTTGGCACAAAGGAAGTCATAGATTCACAGCCAATAGCAGGTTTACCCTGCAAAAATCCCATCCTCTGATTGATCATGAAGACATGCCATAAGCGTGTCTATTCGTGCCATTGAAGGTACTCTAGTCGTTATGTGAGGTCTATTCTCTTGGTCCGAGATCCCAGAACTCAATATACCACTTCACATCAAGTTAACTGCATTATATTACAGGGGAGTTGCTGTATTTATATATCAACTTGCAACATCATTGTCAGCATACTATGGATGAAGATAAGCTCCTCCCACTGCTATTCAAATCATTATAGCAGACATAGGAAAGGATAAGGCCCACCCATCTGCAGTTCACAGCATTAGAGAGAACTACGTGTCTCATATTGTGGAAAACAGTACCAGTATATTGAGTAGCATCAAGAGTCATGCGACAAATAACTGTTGAGGGTATCGAAGTGTTGTCTTACTCAGGAGAAGCACGTGTGGTTGAGCCAGTAGGTGTTCTTATGCTACGCTGCCAATTGGCTGTTGCGTAGGATGCACTGTAACATAACTTCCCTAGAAACTTTGTCCTCATTATGCATGATTGTGAAATAGTGTATAAGGTCACCGTGCTGCACCTGTCTACACGTCATCTCGGTCATAAACAGACCAGACAAGCCACATGAGGCAAAGACTTGGATGAAAGGCTCTGTAATTACCTAAGTGTAGTTACAGGATGAGAGCTATGCTCGTGGTGTTTCATCATCCCAGTACTTTGTCGTTGAACACTTTGAAACTACTGACAATTTTGGCTTCCACCACCTTCTCACTTAGCTTGTTCCAACCATCTACCACTCTGTTTGCAAAAGAAAAAACTCTAATAGTTTTTCGGCACCTTTGTTTCTTAAGCTTGATTCTGTGTCCTCTTGTTCGTGAAGTTGCTAGTTTCGGGAATTCCTTTGTCAAGTTGGTTGATTCCTGTTAGTATTTTGTAAGTGGTGATCATATCGCCACTTCTTCTATCTTCTAGTTTTGGCATGTTTAACGCCTCTAGTCTCTCCTTCTACCTCTTGTTTTTCAGTTCTGGAAGCCATTTTGTAGCATGCTGTTGCACCTTTTCCAGTTTATTTGTTTGCTTCTTGAGATATGGGCACCATATAACTGCTGTATTTTCCAAATTTGGTCTGACAAAATTCATTAACAGTTTCTTTAGTATTTCACCATCCATATAATTAAAAACAAGTGTGAAGTTGGAAAGCGATGCATATGCTCGTCTCACAATGTTCTTTGTGTGTTCCTCTGGCAACAGCTTGCTATCCAAAACCACCTCCCCCCAGGTCTCGTACCTCTATACCTTTATGGCGTGCTCTGGAATTGATATTCGGTCTGGCTCTCTGAAATCTTCATTTATTTCACACATTTCTTTTTCATTCTCAGTAGTCCTGTTCCCCGTTGTCAATCTCTGGATTTTATCCTTTACATGTATCTTGCTTTTAATGAATTTATAGAAAAGGCCTGGACCTGTTTCACATTTGTCCGCCATACGTTTCTCAAAGTTCCTTTCTGCCTCTCTTCTCACTGCTGTAATTGTTTCTTGCTGGCTGGTAGTGCTGTTATGTTTGCAGGTTAGGCCTCTTCCTATATTGACCCCATTTTCTTGTCTTTTTCTCTCTGGCCCTCTCACAGTTACACATTGTGAGAGGGCCAGTTGAACCAATCCTGTTTTCTGGTCCTGCATCTCTGTTTTGGTATGAATGTTTGTGTGCCTTCATTGTATTCTTCACAAAATTTGGCATAGATCTCATTTACTTCCATGCCTAGCAACAAATCTGTTCAATTAAACTCAATAATGAATTTTCTAAGTTCCTCATAGTTTCTCATGGTTCCTCTTTTGAAATTGAGTTTGTCAACTGTTTCAATGTCGATACTCTCTTGCAGCTTATAGTGCAAAGCATATTTAATTTCCAACAGGACATTATCACTTTTCTCCAAGGGAAGAAGGTATTGAATGTCAAATATCTCTTCTTCTTTTCTGGTAAATATTAGATCCAATACTGACGAAATATCCCTTTCCCTCATTCTTGTGGCCAGCTTGACATGTTATGTGGATGTCTCCAGAATGAGGTTCACAAATCTGCCTGTCCAAATGTCGTCTGTTCTTTCTTCGTAGGCCTTCCAGTCTACTGCCTTCAAGTTGAAGTCCCCCATTACCATCAGTCTTGATTTATCTTTTTCTGCTTTTACTGAAATCACACTCATGACCATTGTGAGGCCCTCTCGTTTGTCATCTAGTTCCTCTTTTGTCCATGTGTTGCTTGCTGGTGGGCTGTAGATATTTACGATTATCAGTTTATCATCCTGATTCCAAACCTGCAATACCATTATGCCAACTTCTCGAGGGTTTTTAATTATTAACTCTTACCTTCAGGTGTTCTTTCACCAGCACAGCCACTCCTTCCCCCTTCCAAGTTTTCCTGTCACGTCTCCAAACTGAGTAGCCCCTTGGGAATACGACCTCATTTAAAATATTTTCTTCAGGTTTTGCCTCTGTTAGTGCAACAATATCTGGGACCTTAAGCTGAATTATATCTCTTAGCTCTAGTATTTTTTATCTCGCTTCATCTATGATCTTGGTTATCTTGAGATGATTTTAGGTCTTAGCATCCCCCGTGGCTCGGTCCTTGACCAGGCCTCCTTTTTGTTACACACCCACAGGAATCAGCCCGTAACAGCTGTCTAGCTCCCAGGTACTTATTTACTGTAGGTGAACAGGTGCATCAGGGTGAAAAAACTGCCCATTTGTTTTCGCCTCCACCGGGAATCTAACCCGGAACCTCAGGACTAGGAATCTCAAGCCCTGTCCACTCAGCTGTCAAGCCCTGTCTGGCTAAATGATGGTGTATACAATTTTCAGTAATATGTTCCCTTTCCCCATTACTCCCCATTTCTCTAGTGATTGCTTTGTTTTTATTTTCCATTTCACTTGCTTCCCAGTCCCTAACACTTTATAGAAAAAAAAAATTTCTTCATTTCTTTTCCCATTTAGACGTTTCGTTTCATCGAGGTTGGTTTTCAGCTTTTCTCTGTCTTCCTTTGAGAGATGTTGTCTTATTGACCAAAGTTTGCCATCCTGAAAGCTGAGCAAACAGTGCTCGGGATGGCAAACTTCTTGTCTTCGGTCTTGTCTTTCTTATATTTTCCTATCCTAAAATTACTGACATTTTCCTTTGGATTTAGGCCTTTTCTTAAACCTATTATTTTCTCTATGATTTTCATTTCTTTTGTTTTTCTGTCCACCCTAGATGATATTTCTTTTTCTAAACACCCAAAAATTATTATGGCTTTACTTCTATCTGCAGTGTTTTGTACTAATTTACTGTTGGTAACCAGTTCTTTTCAAATTGCTTGCCTAACTTTTGCTTCTTGTTGGTCATTTCTGGTTTTGACTTCCATTCACACTTCCTTGATCATCTCTCTCTTTTACAACTTGCACTGTACTTGTCTCTAATTTCCTCTTTGTACTTTTCTAGTTATTTATTAACTTCTTCTATGTGAGTTGTCCATGAAGTTTTTATTTGCATATACTTGCCTAACTCTGTTCGCCTTTAGGGTTTCTTGGAGTTGTTCACCATACGAGTCTGTTTTCTTGTTAATTTCATCAAATTCACCACTCTTCACTTTCCATTTCTCATTTTCGTGCACTAGTTCCTTGATTTGTTCTCCTGTTTCTTTACCTTGTCTGTTAAGGTGATAATATTCCTACTTTGCTCAAATAGGATCTGTGTATGTTCATAAGAGCAGAACACACACAGGTAACTGGTATTCCGAATTTGAGCTTATTCTCCTTCATGTTAAAAATCTGGTGAAAGATAATTGAGGGTTGTCCGGTCACATACAGTCTCTAGGCTGAGCAACTTACATATGCGGTTAGCTAGTGTCATAATTGACATGTTTATCCTGTAAAGGATAAACATGTCGGGAGGAAAGGTCCTAGAAAAGGTCAGAAGAAACAGGTCCAAGGAAAGCATATATGCAATATAACTGGCTGCATTAGATTTAGATGGTGTGCCTGGAGACCTTTCTTCGGTGATAAACCCCTTGGTGGATAGTTCAGGGGTGCACAAGGTGTCCACGAATATGATAGGTAAATTCAGTATATTATTCTAATATAGTTTTTTGTTAGGGTACATTTAAAATTTTATTGATATAATATTTACTTCAGGGAAAGTGATGGTGGAACAGGAACATCTAGCTGCTTTCCTCAAGCTGGGTCGAGCTCTCCAGGTTAGTATTTTGGTCTCTTACAAGGGTTTGTAAACAAAATGTTTTTACTACCAAATTTTGGATTGATTTTCACCAAAAAATATATAGCTGTAATTTTATTGCTTGTAGAGATACTGCATTTACCTTTTGGTTTTGATGTTTGCATGTTCAGATTTGTTTGGTTATTCATAATTATTTAGTTATTCAGATTTGAAGAGCAATTGTATGTTTTGGTATACATTATGGAAAGGTTCTTACTACCTTATCACATGGAAAAATAGGTTAAACATTATTATGATTTCCTTCTCTGCTTTTAGTGTGGAAAATTTAGGGGGAACTCTTGGGGGCGTTGTAGAAACCACACAGATTTTCTTTTATCTCAGCATGTGTAATTCTGATTTTAAAGCTTGCAATAGGTCTTGAGACTTGACCCTGAAATAATCTAATGTTTACTGTAGAATATTTTTTAGCAGTACAGTGGTACCTTCGTTTGCGATTGTAATCCATTCCCAGAGACGTCAACCAAAAATTCGTCAACCAAAATGAATTTTCCCATAAGAAATAATGTAAATTGAATTAATCTGTTTCATACCCCCAAAAATATTAACTTAAAAGTACATATTATATTGAATACTACTCATATTTTTCATACACAAAACAATCAGGTATAAATATGAACCATAAATAAAATAAGTGAACATTTAACTGCACCTCACCTCTACTGAGGACTCTTGTTGGCGTATGTGAGACGGTGAGGAGGAGGGAGGAGGTGGTGAGACCGTCCCCTGCTTGCCTTAAACGCTTTCATGTCTGCTCACTTGTTCCAGATTTTCTTTTCAAACATTTCACTGCCTCTGTTATGTGGCAGTCAGTCAGTCAGTCAGTCAGTCAAGCATTCACAGTCAGTCAGTCAAGCATTCACAGTCAAGACCAGTCACAGGCAGTCATAACAAAAGTCAGTCAAGCATTCACAGTTGTGGTAGAAATTGATCAGGCATTTAATCCTTCAGCCATTTACAGTCAATCAGGCTTTCACAGTCAATAAACAACAAGAATTTAATGTCATGCAGTCTGCCTCCTGATCCACCAGCTGGAAGCAACAAAGCCCATATTAATACCGTTCAGATGTGGCTGGGAGGGTACAGCTGGGGGGGTGGGGGTCTGGTGTGGGGTATGGAGGTAGTGAGGAGAGTCCGGTGGTGGGATGGGGGGTGTGGGGGAAGCAGGGAGGGTGCAGTGTGAGGGAGGAATTTTCACCCCACCATCCATCCAGTTCCCTCACCATCCATATGGTCCCCCTCACCATCCATCCAGTCCCCTCACCATTCATCTATCAAGTCCCCCCCCCCCCACCATTTATCCAGTCCCTCCCACGATCCATTCAGTCCCCCCCCCCTCCATCCATCCAGTCTATCCACCATCCATCCATTCAGTCCCCATCAACCATCCATCCAGTCCCCTCACCATCCTTCTAGTCCTCTCACCATCCTTCTAGTCCTCTCACCATCCATCCAGTCCCCCACCATCCAGTCCCCTCACCATCCATCCAGTTCCTCTATCCATTCAGTCCCACCCACCATTCATCCAGTCCCCCCTCCTCTATTCATCCAAGTCCCTTTCCTTCCATCTATTCAGTTTCCCCCACCATCCATTCATCCATCCATCCATCCAGTCCCCTCACCATCCATCCATCCAGTCCCCTCACCATCCATCCATCCAGTCCCCTCACCATCCATCCATCCAGTCCCCTCACCATCCATCCATCCAGTCCCCTCACCACCCATCCATCCATCCAGTCCCCTCACCATCCATCCATCCAGTCCCCTCACCATCCATCCATCCAGTCCCCTCACCATCCATCCATCCAGTCCCCTCACCATCCATCCATCCAGTCCCCTCACCATCCATCCATCCAGTCCCCTCACCATCCATCCATGCAGTCCCCTCACCATCCATCCATCCAGTCCCCTCACCATCCTTCCATCCAGTCCCTTCACCATCCATTCAGTCCCCCTCACCATCCTAGGACCCATGGCATAATATATAATAAGAACTTTATTGTTCAGAAAACAAAAAAGAAGAAAAATAATGAAATTCTTCACAAACAATTCAAGATCGGTAGTCACTACATGGGATAGAGTTCAGCATGCATAGTTTTTGTATTCTGGTAGCATTATTGAATCTGTAGAATTGTATTGATATTGCCATTGATTAACTGTGTAACGTATTTGGCAGGTGCGAGGGATCCTTGATATTGCTGCCCAATGTGAGGAGGCTGGCCTAACTACTGCAGAGGAGACAAAATGTTAGTAGTACTGCATTATCTATGCATGTTTTTGTGGACAATTTGGGGTCCACATTCATTTTATTTACAAACAAGAAATACACACATGTGAACATACACTACCTACTTGTTTTGTTCCTGTTGTTGGTTTTGGGGATCAATGTACCTACGGCCCGGTCTCTGACCATACTCGTGGTCTAGTCTACCAGGTCGTTGGACGAAGCTACTCATGGTCCGATGTATGAACAACACAACCAGGATTATCGGGTGTCCTTTGGAGGTGTTTTATCAAATTATCTCTTAACTATTCAACTGCATCGCATTACAATATGACACCTCAGTGGTGCACAAGAAAAAATTATTTCACAAAAATAATATTTTCTTGTACAGTATTGTTAAAATGTAGGCTCTGATCACGAGAGACTAAACAGAAATATTGTATGTAATGTACTTTAGCTGTGATGGAACTGAGAAGGTGAGCAATATATGGGCGCTGAGTGAGTAGGCTCCCGGACACACTTGCCACCGCCACCTCGTGCGGCAACAGTTACAGAAAATATACAAGTATTTTCATAGTTATTTATAAATGTCTTTCATTCATTTCTAATCTGCTTTTTTGCTGTAATATTATTCAAGAGTATGTAATTTGTGTAATTTATATAGTTAAAGTGTGAAACATTGCTATGCTAAAAATATGGGGCTCATATTTGGTGACATGTATATTATATTCTAAGATCACTCAAGCAGTGTTTTGCTGTTATTACACTATATACACACGTATATATCTAAGTACAGTATCTACATATTTGTGCACCATAATGAGCCACAAAGATCGTGTGTTGAGAGTTCATATACACGGAACAAGAATCCAAGGTCAGCCTAGTGGCCGACAGTGAGTGTGGCAGGGGCTGCCCCAAATACATTTTCACATAATTATTTCAGTGTCTGGTTTTATATCTTGTTTCTGTGGGGAGCCTCTTTGGCTCCCTGGAGCTATCCAGGCTGACATGGATATTATTAGACCTTGGCATCAGTCATTATGAATGGAGTTCTAGGCCTACTGGGGACCCTGAGCCAGAACCTGGCCCCCTCAGAGAGGCATGAGGAGCAGTGAGATAGAAACGCACATGTACTGTAGTTATGGAGCATTCTGTGTCTGCCATCAACTGGGTCAGGCACCCAGAAAAATGTAAGCATCCCAAAACAAACCCCTATTTTGGTTAAAACTACTACTGAAAGGTAAACAAATGGACAGAACTACCCAAAAGAAAACGAGCAAATGAGCATGACGTCATCACATGCTGCGACGCCGTCTGCGCAGCTCCCTCCTCCCCGGGAGGGGGAAGGGGGAGCCCCAGACCCCTCTCGCCGGCTAGCCACGCCTTCAGTTCGGCTGATGTGAATGGCGCCGGTTATTATGGCTCTGGCTCCGGCTTTCTGTCCACTGTTCTGTGCCTTGTGGTGCGGTGCAGGTCTTCTCTTGTGGTGCATGAGCCAAAAGTAATCTCCCAAGTACTTGGGCTGCATGCGCCTAGGGTCACCTTCCCTAGGTGCCCTGTAAGTACTGCCCTTGGGGCTTGGGGCCACCTTCCACAAGTCGCCTTGGGATCTACCTTTGCTGGATCTTTTGCTGCTCGGTGATCGGCCGCCCTTTGTGTGCTGGGGGGTTTCTTACACCTTTGTTTGCCTTAGGGTAAGAGGTAGTTTGCACTGGTGGGGCGCAGGGTACTGCGCAGCTAGTTGTCACCTCTCATGGCGGCCGGCTGTGTTCCCTCTGGGTATGTTGTGCTCTTGCAGAGTTTTATTTTTGCTTTTGTTTCTGATGGCTGGTTGGGGGGGTGGTCTGCCTTTGGTTGTTGCCCCCCCCCCCCGCATATTTAGATTGCTCTGTCCTTCATGGTGGTACCCCCTGCTAGGCCCCCCTGAGTGGGCATGTCCCCTGGGGTGCAGTTTCTAAAAGTTTTGTTGGTAGAGCAGTTAGCTGGTTAGCAGTACCCTGCTTTGGCTTCCCTGAGCATGAGTTTCGTCTCATGACCTTGGGAATCCCCATGGGGATGTGTGGGTCCGATGGATGTGACCCCTGAGTCCCCTCTTGCTTTGTGAGTTTGAGGGTTGTTGTCCCCTTGTCTCCGGGTTACTTTCATTTTCTTTGACTCCGTCACTGCCTGCTGGGTCGGTGACACCTTTGACCCAGAGTCCTGCGAGTTTTGTTGCTTGTTTGTGACTCGGTTTACCTGGTCCATTGATAACTATTCGTGTACAGGTGGCGCAGTTGTTGCGGTTAGGTTTCTGCAACGTGTTAGGTTAATTGCTGTCCCAGAAGCCCTGAGGCTGCCCTGTTGGTTATAGAGACCCAGATTTGGGGGTGGTGATCGCTTTTGACTCTGGTTCAGTCTGTGCCTCCTCGTCCTTTCCCTAATTTGGTTTTGTTCCTCCTTGTCCTTTCCCTTCTTTGGTTCGGTTTGGTCCTCTTCCCCTGCCTTCGGCTCCAAAACATCTGTGGGTTTCGTGGTCAGTGCAAGGTTACCTGGGTTTGGAGACTCGGGCAGTCTCGGGGGATTGCCCCTTCTGGGATGGTGATGGAGGCATTCGAGCCTGTTCCTCCAGCCGTTGTGTATGGGTCTGACTAGTGGGGCGCCTTCCTTAATTTTTCCAGCTGCCCTGGCTTTTTCTTAGGCCGGGACTTTGGGGAAAAGGCTTGGCCCCGGGTCCTGCTGTGGAGGTTCCTGGGGCTGGGGAGGAAGACTTGGGGGCCTTAGGCCACATTGGTCCCCCACATGGGCTTTTCTATCCTCAGAGCGGGGCTTGCTGTTCTGGGGAGTTGGGTTTTCCCTCCCCCTCCGCGAACGAGTTGGCCCCTTCCCAGGTTCGGTTCCGTGTCCCTTAGGGTCCCTCGGTCCTGTCCTTCTGGAGGTTTCGGTCTCCCGTATCTGGCTTTGTGTAGTACGGGTGACCTTTGCGGTTTACCTCTTGCACGACTCGAGTTACGCCTCTCTCATGAATCCATCTTCTTAACAGTTTGGGTCTTTGTCTCTCTCCTGTATTCGTTGGGGGTTTCCGGTGTCATCCTGGCTTCCGGACTGCCTGGTGTTTTCGTTGGTGGCTTAGCATATGTTCTGTTGTTCTGCACGCTTGAGTGGCTCGTAGGGCTAAAGGTGGTCCAGGTTTTGCTGGGGGACAGGGGTTGCACCTCCATGTGTGCTTGTTCACCCCTGCCCTTCCACGGGATGTAGGCCGTGTGCGGCTTCCCGTGCCGGTTCCCTCCCTTTGGCTGCGCTTGTTGCTATGGCCTCGTGCATTCATAACCTATTGGCTTCGTTCTTGCGGTTCTTTTCCCTCCTGGAGCTGTCTTTGGATTGGCTTGTAGTGGGGGGGGGGGATGTGGACGCGCTTGGGGCCGTCCCGGGGTTGAATGCCTAAGTCTCTTACTTTTGCTTCGCGTCTCACGTATCAGCAGGTGGTGCTCGCTTCTTTGGAATCTGCTGGGTCCTAGCTCTTTGGTTTTCATTGCCTTTTTGTTTCTTGATGTTCGCAGGTTCTGCGGTTGTGCTATATCTGCGGGCAGCTTCTTGTTGTTGTCGTCCTTTGACGGACTTGTTGGTCCTCCACGGATCTGGGGGGGGGGTATGGATTCTCTCTAGAGGGGTTGTGCTGGGGCTCAGTGGTTTCTCTCTTCATGGGCCAGTGGTGCCAGCTTCGCAGTTCACCCCATTGATGGGGCAGTGGGGGGGGATGGGGAAGCTTGTGCTGTTCGCTCACGCTGGTCTCACGAATTGTGGGTTTGTCGGGTCGTATCTTCTGGCCTACGGTGGCGTTGGGTGGCCCTTTCTCCTTTAGGGGGTTTGGGGCTGGCAGGGCGGGCCTCTTCACCTGCGCTTTGTCGGGTCTGTCTGAACCCCTGGATCTATTGCCCCTCCCTTCGGATGACTGCTTTGTCCCTGGTTCAGTTTCTCTTGGCGCAGGGCGCTTGGATGGTGTCCCTGGACCTCTGGGATGTGTATTGGCACATCCCACTTCATCCGGGGTTCAGGGACTGGCTCGGTTTGGTTGTGGGGCATCACGTTTTCTGCTTCATTGCCTTCCATTCAGCTTGATCCTGGCACCTTGCGTGTTTCCACGCCCTATTCGGGTCATGGTGACCCGCCTGCGTCTGTTAGGTTCAAGGGCTGGCCTACCTTGATGACTGGTTAGTCTGGGCTCCCAGCCGGTCTGCGTTGTCTGCTCGCCAGGGTTTTGGTTCTTTCCCAGCTTGCTGGGTTTGGGTTCTTGGTGGCCTGGCAGATGTCCCATCTGGTTCCCCTCCCGGGTTTGGTCTTTGCTGGGTCTTGTATGGTTCTTGGAGCTGGTCACTTGGTGACTTTCCGAGGAAGAGTTGTCCTTTTGACTCTTTCGAGGCCGGCCCAGCCTTGGTTTCAGGGTGTGCTTACTCGGCGTCCAAACCTGGGGGTGGAGGTGTGTCTGAGGCTCCGCCTATTTCGGTAGATTGGACCGGTCCGTCACGTTGTTGGGTCTTTGCTTCTGGTTTTCTGACTTGAGTCTGTCACCTTTTGTATGGTGATTAGGTGGCTTCGTTCAAGGTGTCAAACTTGCGTGCTTCGTCTCGACGGCCATATATAGTTTCCTGGCAGTTCTTCCATTTTCTTGTCCCTTCGTAGGTTTACTTAGGTCTCGGATGGGGTTGTCTTGTTTTTTGCTTGTTGTTAGGGCTGTCTTCTGATGCTACATACTGTTGCCTCTTCTTGTAATTACCTAAGTGTAATTACCTAAGTGTAGTTACAGGATGAGAGCTATGCTCGTGGTGTCCCGTCTTCCCAGCACTCTTTGTCATATAACGCTTTGAAACTACTGACGGTCTTGGCCTCCACCACCTTCTCACTTAACTTGTTCCAACCGTCTACCACTCTGTTTGCGAAGGTGAATTTTCTTATATTTCTTCGGCATCTGTGTTTAGCTAGTTTAAATCTATGACCTCTTGTTCTTGAAGTTCCAGGTCTCAGGAAATCTTCCCTGTCGATTTTATC